CCCCCCCCCCCCAATTCAGGCTTCTTCTCCCTCCTGCTCTCTGGCAGAGGCTTCCCCAGCCAGGTTGGGAGGCAGCCAAAGGCCAACACAGAACGTGAGAGGGAGAGACAGAGGGGGGGGGGCTGGCTGTTCTTCAGCGCTGGATGGAGAGCACAGGGGGTGGTTTCTTTCCTCCAGGCAGGTGGGGCACCTGTTGGTTGGGAGGGTCCAAGATTCGGGATCCCACTAGAGGAGCTGCTTCGTTTCCTCACCTCTCTGGGCTTCTTGTTACCTTGGTTGAGCGGAAGGGTGGATGCAGGATTCTACCTTGGCCTTCCACTCTTCAGGGGCTCTCTCTCTCCCCCCCCCTCCTCTCTCCCTCCCTCCCTCTCTCCCCCTGTTTATGTATCAAGGCTGTAGGAGGGTGAACAAACTCCTTGGTTCAGTGGTGCAAGATCTATGGCTGTGTGAACGCTTCCTTGAGGGGATTTGAGGGGGGATTTCTTCTCCTCTCATAAGAACCTAAGAGGGCCAAGGGCCGATCTAGTTCAGCTTCCTGGATCTCACCGTGGCCCTACCAGGTGCCTCTGGGAGCCCACGAGGCCACTAGATATAACTCTCTCCTGATCGAAACTCCTTGGTTCAGTGGTGCAAGATCTATGGCTGTGTGAACGCTTCCTTGAGGGGATTTGAGGGGGGATTTCTTCTCCTCTCATAAGAACCTAAGAGGGCCAAGGGCCGATCTAGTTCAGCTTCCTGGATCTCACCGTGGCCCTACCAGGTGCCTCTGGGAGCCCACGAGGCCACTAGATATAACTCTCTCCTGATCGCCCTCTTCCCCTGCCTCTGGCCTTTGGAGGTCCCTCTCTTGGAAGCCTGGAGATGATGCCTCCCCATCATGGCTTGTCACCTGTGATGGACTTTTCCTCCAGGAATCTGTCCCATCTCCCTTTTCAAGGCATCTAGGCCAGATGCCATTCCCCACATGCTGTAGCAAGGAGTTCCACAGACGAACAACATACTGGGTCAAGAAATTCTTTCTTTGGTCTGTCCTCACTCTCCCAACCCTCCATTGGAGTGGAAGTCCCCTGGTTCTGGTATTGCGTGAGAGGGAAAAGAGCTTCCCTCTATCCACTTTTTCCATCCCCTGCATAATTTTATACGTCTCCATCATGTCCCCCGTTGGACTCCTTTTCTCTAGACTCAAGAGCCCCAAACACTCATCAGGGAGGCGCCCCAGCCCAGTCACCGTTTGAGTCGCTCTCTCCAAACCTCTCCTGGCTTTTGCCCCGGATAGGAGA